CCCTCCCTCCCTGCTCTCCTCTCCCTCATGAACCCTTGACAATTTATAAATTATTATTTTGTCATATCTTGCCTGTCTGACGTCTCCCCTCACCCAGTCTTTTGTAGTCTCTGTCCCCTTTAAACGTCACACCTCTTCCCAAGCCCACCACCACCACTACTATACTAGGTAAAGCCATGTATCTAAGCACTTGTCAATGAAAATGTGAGAGGAAGTGGCATTAAAGCTTGCCTGACAGCTACAAAACTCTTTCCGACTACGAAACTCTTTCTCAAAACACCTTTCTCTTTTATCAACAGCTCACATTGAAAACACGGGTGAATCAATTTTAACCGCAGCGGTAAGATCCATTACTTAAAGGCCAACAGAGCTATTTCTAACAAGGGATTTGAGCCCCTGAGTCACAACAAGGGGCAGAGCCACTAACCAACTAGTCTACTCGCCTTCGAATATTAGATGAGAACAAAATAAATGACTCTTTTCTCTAAGCTACTATATCATTGAGCATTTTCAGTTTAGCCTTTTCCCTAATAAAGCTTCATGAAAAATCATAGATTTCAAATACCTACAGTAAACCAGTGTACAGAAAACCAGGTAGCTCCCCAAGAAGAACAATGACTATGACACATCGGAGTTTAAGTCTACAACACACTATGCAATGATTATTTTAGCTTAGTCGGAGAGAATATATTTGATATCATTATTTGTTCATTTATCATTAGATTCTGTGTAAATATATCAATTCTTACTCTAAAATGATTTCTAAAATGTTATCATCATTGGTTATGCTCATACATCTCTGTTCACGGTATAAAGAGAAGAGTAACGTGTGAAAGCTTTACACTCCTGCATCCACGTTCTCCTCAGAGGAAGCTACTACAAAGTAGGACAGGTACCCTGGAAGACTTATAAGACTTTTTAAAATAAAACGGGTAGTCAAATTTAAACTCAACTAATCTGGTTTGAATTTTGCTTTGGGGCTCATACCCTGAAGTCAAATTTAAAATAAAAAAACCCCAACAATACGCATGTAGATCACTCGGGTTTGAGTTAGTCGAGGATATGACAGGCATTTCCCAAAATACCACCGAGCAGCAGTGTGCCTCTACGACTCATTCTGAAGTGCATCCCAGAATGCCGTGACGTGAAATTAAAATGGGAATATGTATCCCTAGAAGAAACTTCCTGAAGAACAATTCAATACATCTCCATTACTTCATTATACTGTAGATGAGCCATGAGATCTACTTCTGTCTGCTCAAAACACTGAGAATTACTCTTCTGGAATTTGGAACATTTGCCTTTGATTAAACGACAGGTTTTTTCCAGGATGAGAATCCAAATTTAACATGCATCTTGATTTTTCTATCACAAAGACACTTCCTACAGAACTAATTAATGGGGAGATTAAAACACCACCCCTTTAGTTATTCAGAGATTTCATTAACCATTAATCTGTACCCAAAAGTGTAATTTATGACTCTAATTTATAGTTTATAGGATGCACACGTGTCCTTGGACTCAAACATGTGTTTCTATTTAAACTGCTGGAATGTATATGTGGGTCTGCAAAGAGTTATAAATATAAGGAAATCTTCTAAGAATGAAGGCCCTTTATGACCACATACACTGTGTTTTAATTCTGTTTTGAAGATCTCTGACTTTTCCAACGCTGGGAAGTCTGCTTTTTACATCTATATGCTCATACAAACTTAAAAAGATTACTGGGGAAAAAATACTCCCACAGATATAATCTATTGTATCATCACAACTAATCTAAGGCAAAACTATGATTTCTGTTTTTGTTTTGTTTTTCTATTACTAGACCTGCCCCACACAGGCCCCTCACAGTCGCCTATTCTCCATTCCCCTACTCAAAACACAGAGGTCAATTGAAAGAGGAAGAAGGAATCTGATATTAGTCATTTATATTTCATGATGAACTGATTCGACTTTGAGCGAGTTGTTTTTCAGTAGGCACTACTATAAATAGCATTTGCACTAAAAGTCTTTTATGGCCACAGCCTACTGAGCACTCCTTCCAGGGGCTATCAGAGCTGGAGACTTAGAAGACCCAGGACTCATCCTGTCTGGACATAAATCCACGTGCATCTACCCAAACAAGTAGCATCTCTCCCCAGTTCTCTCCTCTATTCTCTTGAAAGTATAGCTCAAAGGGCTTCTTCAGTTCCCTAAACCTTATTTTCTCCCCTCTGTCAAAGATGGAGGAGTCCTGGTGGTGCAGTGGTTATGAGTTGGGCTGCTAATCATTAAGGTCAGCAGTTCAAAACCACCAACTGCTCCATGGGAGAAAAACAGGGCTTTTTCCTCTTGTAAAGAGATACAATTTTGCAATCTCAAAGAGGCAGTTCCACCCTGTGCTATACAGTCACTGTGAGTTGGCACTGACTCATTGACAGTGGGTTGGAATGGGATGGGTTAGGTTAGGTTAGGTTAGGTTAATTTTGGTCAAAGATGGCCAGGAGCTCATTTTCCTAAGTATATGAGATCATGAATTTAAATGGTATGAAGTAGCAGTTCAGATGGTTATGTATAATCAATTTTAAATATTAGGTAAATATGGATGTGAGAAAATAGATGCAGCTTTAAATAATACAAGGAAAAATTAAAGCAAGTAACCTTTTTCACATCATTCTAGCAGTGAGTGTTCCCAGTATCCTACTAAAGACAGTGTACTGTGTTCTGAAATACGCAGACCCAAGTCAAACATCACTAGAGTCAGTTAATGCCAAATCAAGTTCAGGGATAGTATGTGAACTTCAACAACATGAGCCTAAAGCAGTCTGCCCAGAAGAGTTTTAATTTTTTTAAATTTAAATGCCTATAGTGAAGGCCTCCCCAAGACACGCCCCAAAAAACACTTCATCATTCAGTATTTCCCAAAGTGGGCAGTACTGTCCCCTGGGCACCACTGGAATGTTACAGGGGGGGGCAGGGGGCTGCAAAGGTAGTATCTCCACTTTTTCCTGGAATGTGGGCTCTAGTACAGAAGAGTTTAATGGCTGGGAGCGGGCAGGGGAACAGAGTTTGGAGTTTTGTTTTCTGAAAAGGAGGCCAACTAAGTTTAAGAACCTATGATACAGATTACACACCCCACCCTGCATAATGAACCCTTCATATATTATGCATCGACCAAATGTCTGTATTATGAATACCAATGCTTTCCTCCACTTACAAGCCCTCTGACATTCTGTTTTCTGCAGAACATGTCCTTCTCATCTACTCAAGACCACCTTCTACTCTCCTCAAGATCTCAAGAAGCCTTTCTAACATCCTGAAGTCAAATGTTCACTTCCTTAGGGCCTCAGGCTGTTGTGCCATCTACTTTTGTGACCTTATCCCCAGACACCATAAACACCATCAGGAGAGGGTCTACGTCTTATGATGTCTCCCATGTGTGCACCCACGTGTTGGTAAATAAAGATTTTCAGAATGAAAAAGGCTGTAATACAAGTATCAGCTCTTAAAATATTTATTTTTAACACCCCTGGGAGGGCCTGTAGATGAATAACAAAGATGCCCAGAAGGAGTTCACAGAGAAAGCAAGAGCAAGTCATCTCTGATTGCACGTAGGCTTTTGTCCCCAGGTGGGGCGATCTTCTAAAACACAAGTTCACGCCATCTGCGCATGCTGCTACTGGTACTCGTCCCTTCCTCTAGGACACCTGTATGCGTGCTTCCACCACACGTGCTTTCTGGATCTCAAGACAAGGGCAGTGAATCCCAAATGAACTGATGGTTAAGGTTATGTGTTCATTTGCCTAGGCCATGATTCTCGGTATTATGTAATTATCCTTCATTGTGTGATTTTGTATATACATGGGGAATCTCCTTGGAGGTGTGGCCTGCATCTAATATATATAGATTTCTCAAAAAGCTCTCTCACGCTTTTGATCTTGCATCTAACTCATCATCACCCAACTTCTGGTTCTTGGGATGTAAGCCAGTGGCCTGCCACCTGAACTGCAGATTGGGGGATTTGCTACTTTCCACAGCCACATGAGCCAGCAGCCTGCCATCTGGTGTGGGGGTCAGCAGCCCCTATAATCACCTGAGTCAGAAGAAGCCTACATTCTGATGCCTGAGCCATGAATTGACAGCTTTCACAATTGTGTGGGTTGCTTCTTGAAATGAATCTGTCAGTTTATATAATATTATGTAAGTATTTCTTTCACTGGCTTTACTCCTCTCCAGAATCCAGCCTAAGACAGATGTGCATTACATTTCTTTGAAAGGACAGGCATTTTCTTTCATATGAAAACACTTGTTTTCAGAAATAGAACTGACTAGAATTTATCGGTACACAAGCTTTCTAGCTTCTCCTGGTATTTTTTAGTCATCTCCGCCCCATACCTTCCACTGCTCTCCCCCACCAGACATCACACTGATGGCAATGACTTTAAAAGGATGGCCAGAGGTCTCGAGTAAGTAGATCACAAGGATTATCTTTCCTCTGCCCATGATCATGCTGTTGAGAAATAAAGATTGTGAATGACTCTCTCCCTCTACGGCCCTGGACAGGTATGTGCACAGGCAGGAAGGGAATCAGGACTCTCAGGGGAACAGAAGGTAACTAAGGTGTTTTGCTAATAGACGTGTGAGCATGCAATCTGGCAGGCCTTGCTGTTTCATTGCATCTTAGCCTACAAACCAAAGCTCCATTAGAGTTACTCGGAAAACAAAGAAAGCCTTTTGTACAAATGTGCTTGACACAATGGACGAATGTATGGATTGTGATAAGAGATGTAGGAGCCCCGCTAAAAGTATTTAATAAAGTAAAACCTGAAAATATAAATGAAACTTTAAAAAAGAAGAAGAAAGCCTGGCTTTCCTTCTGCCAACCATCTCTAGCTATCTTCTCAAAGATAGCTTTACTGTCCTCCCCATCAAAACCGAGTTACCAGAAGCTTCCACTGGAACTGTTAACACAGGTCTATTTCCCCACAATTGTCACCGAGGCAAGAGGGAAAGTGACTTACCTTTTGAAAAAAGTCTTCCCCACTTTTGCCTTTTCCTTCAGCAGCAGCTGTAAATAAAAATGCATATATTTAAAATATTTTCTTTTTGCAACCTACATATTCAAAACACTTGCGTGTCCAATATAAGACTGCAAAGGTGTACAAGATACCACCCTTGCTCTCCCAAAACTGACATCCCACATCTGGGATTCAACATTGATAAAGAACAAAACACCAATCCAATTACCAGTACACTCCATCTTTAGATAATTCCACACCTCTTTCTCTGAACAACTCATGGATCTCTATGTAGGCACACAGATAAAAATGATGTGATCCTTTAGCGCTAAGGAACAAATGCAGTGTGCAGTTGCACTTCCAACAGGTGATTCGTTTGATATGGACTAGTTCTGAGCTGTTTTTGTTTTGTGTTTTGCAATAATGATATCATCTATAACAGTGGCTCTCAACCTTCCTAATGCCGTGACCCTTTAATACGTTCCTCATGTGGTGACCCCTCAACCATAAAATTATTTTCATTGCTACTTCATAATTGTAATTTTGCTACTGTTATGAATCAGGCGACCCCTGTGAAAGGGTCGTTCAACCCCCACCCACCCCCAAAGGGGTCACGACCCACAGGTTGAGAACCACTGATCTACAGGATTTCAGTTAGCCTTGGAGACTACTTTAATTCACTTCTTCAGTCATACACACAAAGAGAGGAGAGGGACAGAACATGAGGATTAAGCAGTCATGGTAAAGGACATAGCTACCAACAAAAACATCAAGTCAGGATAGGTAAAAGGTCACTTATTTGAATAACCATTTTTGTATCTAAATGGGAACCTATCAACACTGTCCAAACCTAGTTCTCTGTATGTCCAAACACCCTGTGGCTCTGTGGCCATCATTCATTTGTTTGTGGAGGGGCCTGGGGAATTTCACTAAAAAGAGAAAGAAGACAGAGAGTCAAAAGCTCTTTGCATGTAATAGAGATGATAACTTCAGAGGGCAAACATCAGTGTATGTTTATGAAGATTTGCATTTATATATGTGGTGTGTGTAGTGTGTGTGTGTGTATGTGTGTGTGTGTGTGTGTGTGTGTGTGTGTGAAATCCATAACTCAGTGGAAGTGCCCCGTATTCCCAGGTCTTGCAAGTTTTCTACCATTAACATGGGACAATCTTACTTTTCTAACTCTTATTTTACTGTAAAATATTTGCGTTTCTCTTCTCTGATAGATTCTACCAAACATGGATGGTGTGTGTGTGTGGGTGTGTATGTGCGCACACACACATGTACACACATCTCCAGAGGACCTACTAAGATGATCAAAGACCCAGGAAATGTCATAGAGCAATCCCTTAAGAACCACACTTGTCACTGGGCAAGTTTTTATACACACTTTCTATCACTCTGGCATTTTGTTCAGTGGAAGATCCAGATTTAAAGAAATTTCATTTATTAATATCTGTAGGGTTTTTTGTTTCAAATTTAAATAAAAGACCCCTGCTATTTGGGGGAAATATTTAATCAATAGCTTTTCATTAAAAAAAAAAAAAAGAACACACTCATTTCAAAGAACATTTTAAGAAAACATGAAAACAAGGGCTAGAAAGAAATGAACAATTAAAAATGGTATTCTAATGTGTGGCGGTCTAAGCTAAGTGGTCCCCAAAGACATCCATTCCTAATCCCTAGAAGCTGGAAATATGTTACCAGATTTTGTCGGTGTGATTAAATTAAAGATCTTGAAATGGGACGAGTTATTCCACTGAATTATCCACCTGAGCTAAATGTAACACCAGGGTTCGTACAGGAGGATGGCAAGAAGGATAAGAGTTCAAAAAGGTGATGTAATCATTGACGCGTGGGAAGGAAGGCACTGTGAGGACAGAAGCAGAAGTCACAGGAGAGCTTTGAAGACGCTACATTACTGTCTTTAATGGGAAATTCTGGAAAAGAGCCAGAAAGCAGATTCACCCCGACAGTGTCGCCTGAGAGTGCAGCCCTGCCGACACATTGATTTCAGCCTAGTGAAGCCATTTCTGGATTTCTGATTTCCAGAAAAGACAGGAAGTTTAGGTTGTTTTAAGTTTCTACATTTATGGTAATTTGTGGAGGGAAACTTAGCAGAAGGAAATGCATACAGTGTCCATATTACCATATATACTCGAATATAAGCTGACCCAAATATCAGCCGAAGCACCTAATTCTACCACAAAAACTGCATTAAAAATGTGCTGAAAAACTCAGCTTATCGGGTGCATAAGAAAATGTGGTGAAGAAAGCTGATGATGCCTGGCTATCAAAAGACATAGCATCTGGGGTCTTAAAGGCTTGAAGATAAACAAGCGACCATCTAGCTGAGAAGAAACAAAGCCCACATGGAAGAAGCACACCAGCCTGCGTGACCACGAGGGGTCGATGGGATTAGGTATCAGGCATCAAAGAACAAAAAATCATGTCATTGTGAATGAGGGGGAAAGGCAACTGGACATCCACTTACAGAAGGGCTGTGGGGAGGAGACGACCAGTCAGGATGCACTATAGCACTGATGAAACATACAGTTTTCCTCTAGTTCTTTAATGCTTCCTCCCCCACTCCCTGCACTATCATGATCCCAATTCCACCTTACAAATGTGGCTAGACCAGAGGATGTACGTTGGTACAGATAAGAACTGAAAACACAGGGAATCCAGGACAGATGAACCCCTCAGGACCAATAATGAAAGTAGTGATACCAGGAGGGTAAAGTGGGAAGGACAACAGAAAAGTGGGTGAAGGGAGATGTCAGACAATGTGAGACATCACAAAATAATACTAATTTATAATTATCAAGGGTTCATGAGGGAAGAGGGGGGAGGCGGAGAGGGAGAGGAAAAAATGAGAAGCTGATACCAAGGGCTCAAGTAGAAAGAAAATGTTTTGAGAGTGATGGTGGCAACAAAGGTACAAATGTGCTTGACACAATGGACGTATGTATAGATTGTGATAAGAGTTGTACAAGACCCAATAAAATGATTTTTAAAAGAAAAAGAAAAGAAACGGCTTATACAAGAGGATATATGGTATCTTAATTTTACTAATTTTCACCAAAATGTATGTCCTCATCATCATTACAAGCACAGGCATGGAAATGGGCATTGGATCACCCACTTCCAAATAGATCCTTTGTAGTTCACCCTATGGTTTTCATATTCTCACTTCAAAATATAGCCATAGTAAAACTTTGAGGGGGAAAAAACCCTTAAAAGCGAAGTTGAATTTAAAAAGTAAAGATCACTCAAAGTAAATTGACAAAAGTGGTTAATTTTAGTAGAGGAGTCACCCACTGAAGATAAAAAGGGGTGTCCAAATCCAGTTAAGGATACGTTAATTAGCCTTGGGACACGTTATTTACAGCAACCAGATTTTTAGGTTTAAAATAGTTCAAAGGAGTCCTACTCAATAACACCTATAGTCATTGGGCAATGAAAGTTACAGACCAGAATTTGAAGAGTTTAAAAACCTATAATGACATCAGTGTTCCTCTTCTTTGAAAATTTCAGAATGAAAGATGTCTTTAAAGGCCTTGAAAACAAAGCAGGTAATCGCTGCTTCCATCTACAAGGAGCTTCTTCATTACTTAAAATTCACTAGTTTAAATTTTGTAGTGCAATTATTTTGTTACAGAAACTTCCAAAGGATGGTTACTTTGCTCACAACAAACTCAGTATGTTACAACCTCAAAATGCCCCTTCACTCCAAGTCTAGCAAAACTATTAAATGGACTTAATAGAATGGCTCTTCAATCCCTGGAGGGATTTTTAAAAAATGGGGGAGGGAACATTTCCTTAGTTAGACCCAAATTAGATTTAACTATGTTACAAAAAAACATCTAAACTGGAACCAGATACCTATATATTTAGCAAGTGTATGATATAAGAGAAGAGAAGGCTTAGAACCAAAAATGGGATTGGTACCATTCAGTAGAAAGCAAAAGTTTCTCCCTTCCAAGCAGGAATTGATCTAATTCTCATACGCAATCTAAATTTCTCAGGATCAAAATATAGACTTTGTCCAAGAAATGAGTGATGGGGCCTGATAAATTCAAGGAGGGGCAGTCTCCTTTGAGGGAGATCACTATATGAAAGGTCACCCAGACTGGAGGCCTGCCCTAGCAGCCTTGGGGTGGCTCCTGAACCAATCTGGTAAGCTCCTTTGCCTACCACAATGCACATACTGTATATATGCGAGTATAAGCTGATGCACCTAATTTTACCACAAAACTGCATTAAAAACATGCTGAAAAATTTGGCTTACACATGAGTATATACAGTATCCCAGTCATGGCCTCATTCCCACTCCAGGAACACTCCCCGTAGCTTTAAGGTTTTCCTTTTCCATACATCATGCTGTGTGACAGTTTTCCTTGCCTCCCGTGCCTTTCTTACATTCTGTGTATCAGAAAACCCTTGGATCCCACTACGACCCTGTGCCAAAGATCCCCTCCATCTGGATAATATGTCTTGGACTTTCTTTTCCCCTTGTCCTATTTAAGACTACAATAACTTTTTTTTAAAACTTAAAAAATTGAATGAAGGGGGTGCAGTTTACAGAATACAGGTTTTTTTTCAATATAAACATGCTGACTGCCGACAATCAGCTGCCAACTCATGGCAACTCCATACACAATGCAGAGATCCCGCCCAAGCCTGTGCCGCGCCCACACTCAGCTGTGGCTCAGTCTACCATGATCCATCGGGTGGTCACGGACTGATTTCCAGAAGTTGATCAGCAGGCCTTTCTGTCTTAGTCTGGAAGCTGCACCCAAAGTCTGTTCGGCATTATGGCCACTCATGCCAGCTTCCACTGAAAGACAGGTAGTGGCTGCACTTACGGCACACTGGCCAGGAAGAGACCCAGGTCCTTTCTCATGGCAACAGACAATTCTGCCACTGAACTCTGCTCGCTTAATGTAAACTTCCCAGCCCAGATTCCTGGGCACTGAGTTGATTCCATCTCTAAATTGCTCATCCAATAGACTCAGAAAATAAAGATAAGTTCATATCCATTCCACAA